GTGGTGCGGGAAGACGGACAAGTGCCGGAAATTATGTTTTAAATTATGGAAATCAAGGAAAGCCCTCGTTGAATTGACCAAGCTCTGTTTATTTTCTGAAAAAGTGTTTTCAATTGCTCCATTGACACTTCTCTTGATTCATGAAATTTAAACGATTGCAGGTCTTCTCCAGTGAGTCATATTGGATTTTTAAGCCTAAACGTATCGTCATTGATCCAATCGCCAAAATAGTAGCTCATTTTGAGAGAAACGCAAGAGAATGCCAGATTGTAGCGGTGGCCTTTCCATAATTTCAAGACAACACTCTACAATTTGAATGTCGAGTCGATTCAGAAAAGTGAGTTGATTGAATCTCGGATTTAACATAACACGAAAAAGAATCAAAAAAATTGCTCGACGAAGTTTGGACGAAGTTCCTGATGCAGCAAGTTTGTGAGTGCTTCCATTCCAGTGCATTCAACTTTTCCGATTCTCAACGGCCATCTCCAAGTAAAGTTCACGAAAAAATCAAATTACTCTCTGGCGAGAAATGAAAAAGTGGTTGGTGTAGTCGCTAGATCGTCGAAGAGTCCTATGGTAGTTTGAGTCAAAAACTCTAACTTGTCTATTGGGGTGTCTTCGATATGAAAATACTCATTTTTGTACAACTTATTTGACTTTTTTGAAAGACTCTTTCAGTCGTTCTTTTCTCAAATTCACTATCTCGGCAGGAATTATTGACATCAACACTTGAGCAATCAAACGATTCTTTGAGCATTTTAGTTTCCACTTGATCTTTCGTATCATCGAAGCCGATTGGTGTAAAAAGAACTTTTCAATTTGCGTCAATGTCAAGTTGAAATTCGTATCGATTTTCGATTTCATAAACAAATAACTGAATAGAGCAATCCATTTTTATTTTCAATCTTTTTCAGTCGAGCTTGTGTAGACAGGCACTCCCATGTCGGGTATCACGATCAATCGAATTGTCACCGCGTTTCTCTGTGCCATGTTGTACTCGATTTTTGTTTTTGCAAAACCTGCTTCCAATTATTGCTTATTTGTATTAAATTGACAACTGTAGATTAAGGTGGTTCTTTGGGAAGAATGGGTAAAGTTGAACTTTACAAATGCTTGTAACTAGAGTGTTTCCCTCAATAAATATCCTTCCTTGTTAAAATTTAAGGTATTCGGTCACCGACAAGCTGAATAAGTTGAAATTTGACGTGAGAAACACACTCCACACTCTACCAGTGTTCGCAATATCTTTTGAATGTTACATGATTGTTTAATCATTTAGAAAGGTCAGAAAATGCAGAAAGAGGCCTAATTTCCTCATTTTAAACATTTGGACATGAGAAGAATCCGGAAAATTGTGGTCATCAGGTAAAAAGTAAGGAAACTATTTATTCTAGATGAAATTCTCGGAAGCAAAGAAATCATTGGCGGTCGATTATCTAAACAAATCGTGCCTCCAATTTTCTAACTTTGTTCAGCTGATAGTCAATCACAGAATCATCGTCTCCTATTTGATGTTCAAAAAACTCACCAACAGTCCCAATTCTCTAATTTTTCATCGATCATGAACTCCGGCAATTCTTACAAAACAGTCTTTGCCTGAATCGGTTTCTCCACTCCCATTTCATCCAAGTTTAGAATCTTTGCCGTCTTCTTCGATGGCTTACTATACAAGCGAAATGTTCGCTTGTATATGTACGCCTTGCCACATTGTGCTATTTTCCGGGTGCTTCCAATTGTCGCTTATTTGTATGCTTATATGCTGTATGTAGAGCTTCTTGTTTTGCAATTTCTTTGCCAAGCATTTGTGATAATGGAAACGACACTCGTTCTGGTGGGTTCGAGCTGGAGATTTGATGGGTTTATTGGATAAAAACCTCATGGTAAATTCCCCTGAAGTGATCACGCCAAAAACGGACAGACCAAATAAGAGTTGAAGATTGTAACGATAAATTAAAAAGCAACTGATTTGTTGATAATACTCACCTTTTGAGGCGAGATGTGCCAATACAATCTTTTGAAAAGCGTTATGAATCGAGGAGGATATCCTTGGAACAAATTGTCGCAAAATTTTGCTGATTCATTGAAGGGTGAGGGAATATAGAGGTGTGGTCGGGAGGGAAAACTTTGAAATTCACCTATTGTCTACTGTTCAAAATCAGTGACTTCTGAAAAATCGCTCACCCTTATCGTAGACAAAGAAACAAACGTCAAATTCCTCTTTGGCTAATAGCTTCCGTTTAAACAAAATGATAAATCATTGGAAACTAAGAGAATACTCAAGAAAATGGAGAGAATGGGGATGGAGATGGAAAATGGAGAGCATTTGAAGGTAAAGCTGAGAATAAAAATGAGAAAGTTGGTGCTTATGAAACTGGACTGAAACTTAAAAAATGAAACTTGTTAGACTAGGATTTTAGATTTGTCTGTCTTGCTTTCATGCACTAAGTTCTAAACAACGAAAGAATCAACATGTTTAAAATAAAAGCCGAAAAATATGCAGACTGGACCTGGTGTCGATGATTGGAAATGGTCGGATGGATCACCGTGGAATTACACGAATTGGGCTCCCGGGGAACCGAACTCCGGGGACAGTCACTGTGTTTGTGTATGTTTTTCATAAAAGTAATCTTTGATTTCAATTCCTGTAACAATTAACCTCATCGATTTTCAGATTTACGCCGATGTAACCAATCCAGCTATGACGGCCAAATGGGACGATTGGCCCTGTGATAGGGCCTATCGAGCAGCGCTTTGTGAACAGCCGGCTAAATTCTGAATTTTTAAGTTTTTGAAATAAAGTTTTTTCTTTTAACTGTAAGCTTAAATGTAGACAGCTTTTGAGACAATTTCACTTAAACCCTTTTCCTAAAGCTACCAATTACCGTGTACGTAAATTAACAAGAAGAAAAGTTAAAATTGAATTGTTTATGCTAGAGAAGTGTTAGAGAAAAAAAATCTTTCTCAGAGTGTGAAAACATCTTGATTGATTGCTGTTTATGCAGTGACAAGCAAACTTTGCAATAGAAAAATGAATACATTGATTCACACGAATAATGTGGGACAAACCGTACACAAGCACAACCCCTAGCACTCAAGCCCTCACATGGGAATGATCCGAACTGAACGAACGATTTCGCCGCGAAGATGCAAATGCCTATCGAGGGGAACACGATGCTCTATTTATTTTGGTCCATTCTCAGCGGCAAGAAGATCTCGACTTCGCTGATGTACAAAAATAACTCGTACAAAGCCGAGGTTGTTTGGAAATTTGATGGTATCACAAAATGGATATAGTTTTGGGTTGGCGCCTATGAACTAGCCTTCATTTTTTAAAACTTGAGCCCATTTGCTCGTTTTATTTCATGAGTTGTTGCTGCCCTTACGGACCGGAGTCCTTGGGATGAATCCAAAAATTCACAGCGGCTCCCTTGCACACCCTTTTACGGGCACTTGGGATCCCATTTCGACCGACGGAGAACCCGCCACTCTGGTCAACATGAGCCGGAACTGGGTTCACCAATTCTACAGCCGGGGTTAGTTTTGGGAGGCGGTGACCACCTGGGGCAGACAACGGATTGGTTACCGGATGACCCAAAATGGACGCTTCCGATTCGAGCAGGCAGGCAATTTACAATTTACAGGCAATTTGCGGATTCCTCTTTCGTAGTAGGATTTTGGTTTGTGTGTGAGACAAGTGTGAGACTCAAAAATGGAAGACTGGAGATGTCCCAGTTTGAGCACTTTCTTCAAAAAAAATCCATTTTGGTGTCAATAGAAAAGTTGTAGAGAATCAAAAACTAGGCTTATAGCCAAACTTCCAAAAAGATACGCTTAGTAGTTTCGCTTAAAATGCAAGTTTTGTGAAAATTCATAAATTTGGCATTTCTTGAAAACCAGTTTTTGAATCGTTCTCAAAATTTGGATATGAGCTTGATTTTTGATTCTCTACAACTTTTCCATTGACACCAAAATGGGTTTCTTTTGAAGAAAGTGCTCAAACTGTGACATATGACAATAGCCCGCAGTTTTCAATTCACCAATCCAGTAGGTAGAGAAGTATAGAAATACAATGCAATGAGTTGTGAAAATGATTGTTAACTACCAATTCAATCCATTTTAACAATTTTTGATTGAATACTTTTAAATTATAAAGAAAAGGTGGGAAAAGCGTGATGATTTTGAGCAATAGACTTCGAGAGTGGATACAAGATTCGAGAGGGTACAAGATGTTTTTTAGTAAAAGCAAACGTAGTAAAATCGTTTCTTAGCAAAAGCAATTTGTTAAACGCTACACTTTACACTACGTAAAGTGAATGATTCACTCCTTTTGACTGAATATTTTGCTATTTCAAGGAGGGATACAGAATATTCAGCCAAAAGCAGATGCAAATTTTTCTATGCAAATTTGGGGGACTACTATTGGAGGGGGCTACTATTACAGCTTTTACGGTTCGTCGTGGTATTTGTGAAGCAAAACACTACAATACTCCAAATGACATCCACGACTGGTGATGAAGAGTGGGTATTATATTTCAACTATTGACCTAAGGAATGGATAGGATCCGGGGAAAAAGCAAAACCTGAGCCGAAGCTAGAACTCCACCAGAGGAAGATAATGTTATGCATTTGGTGGGAGATCGAAGGAGTTGTTTACTGGAAATTGCTGCCTGAAAGTATGACTGTTGCAGCATTTCTGTACACTATACAGTTGGATAAAGTGGCCGATGAAATCACAAAAACGGTGAAACAAGGGAAAAGTTCTACTTTTGTATGACAACGCTAGAAAATTTCGAATCAGTTACTCAAAGACTAAACATGAAAAAGATTTGTCTGCCAAATCATGATCTTCAGGAAGTTAATGAGAAATTTAAACGGGTTACGGTAGAAAGATAGACAGGTTGCTTGTATTTTTATACATCTGGAAATGCGATGAAATCAATTATCAGAGTTTGTCTTACAAGCCTTTTCAAAGTTCTTGCATCACAAAATCAAAACCACTAAACAACCAATTGAATCCACTCTTTTGGCGTCGGCATTTTGTGTTTCCAATGGAGAGCTGGATTGAAATAAACAATCGATCGATTGCCAGCCAAATAAGCACCCAAGTAACCAAAGGTTGATTGAATATCTGAGCAATTGTTACGATCGACAACAATCTCTCCCAACTTGTCAACAAAATATGCGTGCATTGATGCGAGAGAAATGACCAGACGAAATGGATTGGATGATCGTCAATGGGGAGCCACGTTGAGTTAGCAAAATCTGGAAATGGCTAGATAAAGAGATGATAACTTTAGTGATCAACCTTATCAAAAAGTTCTAGATTTGTTTTATAAACAAAAAAACTTGGATTTCCTATAAAGCTCACGTTTAAACTCTTCTGTTCTCACATCGGCTTTCAAATTTTTTGCGTCATCCGAGAAAATTGTGATCCCGAAATTGGACACTAAACTTTTTGACTGTTAAAATAAGCAGGATTTCTCTTACCTGCTTCTTGTTTAATGATCACATTCAACGCCTTAACAATGTAAGAAGATTTGGCAGCATATGAGCCGAAATCTTTTCGTCGCCAATGAACACAAATTCTGAATGAATTTTTGAGACTGGTCAGTGATCTTGACCACTTTTGATCATGCAACAACAGTTTTTCAAGAAAACCTTTTGTAGAGTGATTATTTCTTGAAACTGATTGCACATTAACATCCCAGAATTTAATTTCACATCTTCTGATCTAAATTTCATTGCTGTTAGATTAAAAACAAGGTACATATTGAGGAAAAACGTAAAAAAAAATGAAAATCTACTATGCAAAAGTGTTTAGTGATCAAACAGCAATGAAACAAGAAACAATGAAGCATCAAAAGATGTGAAATTCAATTCTGGAATGTTAATGCGCCATCAGTTTCAAGAAGTAATCACTCTACAAAAGGTTTCCTTGAAAAAATGTTTTTACGGCGAATTGACGCTGAATTGACGAAATTGACGCCAATGTTTTGCTTCTACTTGCCTCTTTTTTCTCTTTCGAAAATCATCGGGCAGAATGAGTTTTGTCAGCTCGAGAGTCTCCTCAGTGAATCCTAATCGGAAAGCCACCTCCTCCCAACCAAGATCATTCAAATACTGGATATTCTGAAAACCAGATTCTGAAAGTATTCAAGTATTCTGAAAACCAATTTGAAAGTAGAAAGCAGAAAAACTTTATCTATTAAGTTAATTACTCATTTTGTTTCTTAAGTTCCCAATGATTTGCTAACAATTTAGCTGCCGTTAGATAAAATGAAGGGATTCAGAAAGCCGAAAAATAGATTAAATTTGATAATTCATATGGAACGTAAACGTTCTCATATGGAATCGTTCAATTTCAGCCAAATTTACATGTTTTCCATCGATCTTTCGTATCATAAAGCAAAACATTGCATATTTCCCCCTCTTCATTTATTCACCTGCAAAAAGGCGGCGTCGATGACAACGATTCTCTCCTTTTCCAGCCCATCAAACCGAGAAAAGTTGATGTAAGTCGAGGGTTGGGCCTTTAAATTCACCCGGGGCAGTGAAGAGATCTAAGACATTATTGAAAGTTTAACAAGTTTAACCCAATCCACATTTAGCCCCAAACTCTCTGACTCGAGGAAAAACCCATCAAGAACATTGGGGAAATAGTGTAGGGTTTTCCAGAGTTGGCGAATGACTGGCTGATTGAATGAATCGCTTTGGAGCAAGAAAGAAGGACGTCTGGAAAAAGGAGATTGATTGAATATTTCAAGAACACTGGTTATATAAGTTTTATAGAGGTAAATGTAAATAGTAAGTGATTCAAAACTTTGTCTTTGGTGACTTTGAAATACTTGAAAGTGAAATAACCAGTTTTGCGTGCTAGTGAATTTAAAAAACGATCATAATTTGTGCTCTCAAAAAAAACGTGGTGCAATTGAATCAAATTTAGCAGTGAAAAAGCTCAAAAGGGGCTATTTGTTGGTTTTTGAACCAACCAACTAGACTTGCTTAACGAGAATCAACGAGACAAATGGGTCGCGCAACTCCAGGCGCTCTAGCCTCCCGAGCATCGGATTCCGATGAACTTTTGTTTATTTAAAAGTCAAGATTTTAAGCTATCTATGATACTCATCACTTGTATTTTTCTTTTGAAAAACTGGGCTGAAAACCTTATCGAGACTTAACGAGACAATTCCTCGTTATCTTGTTAGTCGAGAAGGATTGTCTCGTTAATTCTCGATAAGGTTTTTGGCCCACTTTTTCAAAAGAAAAATACAAGTGATGAGTAAGATAGATAGCTTAAAATCTTGGCTTTTAAATAAAAAAAATTCATTGGAATCCGATGCTCTGGAGGCTAGGTCAAGCGCCTGGAGTTGCGCGACCCGATTTTTTGGATCTGTCTCGTTAAGCCAGTCTACAACAGACTTTCTTGAGTCTTTGAAATGACAGTTTTCAAGTGGATCTATCCAATTGATTAGTTAGTTGCTCAAAACAATGTATAAAGTTTTTTTGTTAAGTCACTTTTGAATAGATGAAATCTGTGTGCCATCAACAAACCTGTGCAGCCTCTTCGCTATGGCGGCCACTCCCAATATCTCGAAGATTCGATTTCCCAGCTGATTCCCTCCATGCAATGAGCTCATTCGGGCAGCCAGCAATCTCTCATTTTCTTCCAGCAAATCTTTTCCCTCGAATAATCTTTTCGATGAGCGAGAACGATGTTTGGTGACAAAAAGAATTGAAGAAGAAGTATTGCCAAAAATTTTGTTAAATGAAAAAGAGAATTTGTTATTAAAAACGACCAAGTATTCTTTATTTTTTGCACTATAAAGTCGAGTGTTATCTTTACAATCACTATAAAATCGAGTGTTCATTAACAAACATTATCTTTTAATTATCTTTTACTAACTCTATGTTTTTTTGTGGTTTAGACACTCAACTCTGGTATCATTTGAAAGCTCATACGGTTCTCGACAAATTTAAACATCAAAACGAACTTTAATCATTGGAAAAATTTCTGGGCATTCAAATAGGAATCAAAACTGACCTCGAGTTCCAAAATAGAAAAAGAACAACAGCAATAAAGAGTATGAATAGATATTTTATTGAGAGATTCATCTTAAAGAGGAGGTCATTTGTCGAGATGCTCAAATTTGCAGTTTTCTTTTTCTTAAACTAATCGATTTTTAGTTTCAAAGGAATTCAAATAAACCATAAAAGCTATTGAAGAAAAGCAGACGAATAAAAGTGGAAAAGGAACAAGGAAAAGCCTTATCGCAGTCGTCGCATTTCACTTATCATTTTCAAAATTGGAATCATACAACGAATAGCAAAAGGGTTCTTGAAAATGAAAATCCTTTCGTTTCTTCAACTTCTTGCAGTGCCAAAGTGTCGTTGCAGTGTTGTTGTTTCGTTGTAGAAATTAAATGATTTTAATTTTCTATTTAACTTGTATCGGTAATTTTTGTCTATTAGGTTGATGCAAAAGTCTTTTTCATTTTTTTTCGTCTGCCGTTTCAAGCCAACAAATGCACCAATTAAACTACGGTTGATTTCATTAGAAAAACCAATTATTTTTCTGCAAAATAACATTAAAACGGGTTTAAAAATATTTTATGCCTGGATTTTCTTGAGAGTATGAAGTCGGGTAGTCAAAAAGGGCTAACTCGATGATGCGGTTTAGACACCTTAGCTAAAGAAAACCTATCTTCGTGTCAATAGATAAAAGATAGAGAAAAAAAAGTTTGATATTTCGCCAAAATTTCAGAGAAATTCATTCAGCCAATTTTTCCGTAGAGTTTTTTATAGATTTTTACGAAAAAGGCGTTTTTCACTCTCGAATTTGCTTGAAAGTGAACCGAAATTCATTTAAAAAGATGCAAATTGAACAAAAAAACACTTTTTTTATAGAGCAAACTATAGATTAATTGGTGAATTTGTTACTTTTTAACAGAAGTACGAAAAAAATGAAAAAGACTTTTGCATCAACCTAATAATTTTAAGCCCAAAATGTGACTCTTTCTCATGATGATGTTCACCAATCAATCTCTTTTGGGTATCATTTGAAAGACTGAAATGTTTTCTACAAAACTTAACGAAAAAATGTGAAATAACATTGTCTCTGAGCAAAGTTATGAGTCTTCAAAGCAGTCAACTCATTCAAGAAAACCTACGAAAAAGTGTTAAATTAAAAATTATCGAAACTCGATAAGAAGCTTCAAATTTTGTAACTCTTGAACATATTCACGAAGTATAAGTGAAGATCACGTTTTTCTCGTTCCACAACTACAACAATTCTACTACAACAATTCAACAAAGATCACATCTCCCTTTCTTCCCCTTATTTTCCAAATCCAAAGTACACATGCCGTTTTACACTTTCTTTCTCAATGTTCGATAGATCGGCTTCCCCTCGAACGAAATTAAAACTGGCTATGAACATTTATCTTCAATGAGAATGTAAAAATATTCATTTTGAGCAAAGTTATGCCGTTTTTAATGAAAAACGCAACCTAAAATGGTCGTGCGGTCAGAATGCCAAATGGCGCTTTTTCGGAAAGAGAGAACACCTGCTCGAACCGTGGTCGGCTCACAAAAACGCCATAACTTCGCTTCATATTTTTACATTATCTTTGAAGATAAATGATTACAAAATGTTTATGCAATGTTTTAACATTTTGTAGCATTTAGCAGCTATTATAGCATGAGAGTCAGAGGTTTTTTTTCCCTCATTTCCTCAAAATGTCGCTAAAAGTTTCAAAATCAAAAGAGCATTCCAGTGCATTTTTTCTGGAGGCATCAAGTCATTAGTCATTTTAATGTATACAGGGTGCGCCAAAAGTCCTCGTACTTTTTCCATAAACGCTTTAGGTGTTATCTTTAGTTGCTTAATGTTGATGTATTTACTTTTTTACATTTATTTTGATATTATCTTTTAAGAAAAGAGCAATTATTACTTTTACAGATACAACAAACATGACCACCGAGGTAGCGAAAAGAAGGATCACCATCATTGAGTTACACAAACAAGAAAAGAAGGCGATGGAAATTGTTCTTATCAAAGGATTTCCAAAAATGTGGGTCTATGATGCAATAAAATGATTTAATGAGTTGGAAAATGAAAAGGATAGAGCAAGAAGCGGCCGGCCACCAACTGCAACAACACCAGAAAAGGTCAATAAGGTGCGCTGTCAAATTAGGCGAAACCCGTTACGATCGATGAGAAAAATAGCAGTAGCTCTGAAAATTGGCCCAACAAGTGTCAGAAGAATTGTCCATAAGAAGCTAGAAATGTCTAGCTACCGGATTTCGCGTGGGCATTTCCTCAATGAGCAAATGAAGAAGAAGAGGAAGACTCGATCACGGAAGATGCTGCGCCTGGTCGCAAATGGTCGCCTCAATTCGGTTTTGTTCACAGACGAGAAGATCTTTACCATTGACCCCATCCACAATCGTCAAAATCATCGTTAACTTCTTAAAAGAGGATTAAAAAACACTTTTGCAGCTAAGTTGATGGTGAAAAAGCATTTTCCAAAAAGTATCATGGTTTGGGCCGCATTTGGTACCCCACAGGAAAAACACCACTTGTGTTTCTTGACAGAAACGTAAAAGTTAACGCCAATATCTATTAACAAGTAGTTTTATGGGATAAATTGGAACCTTGGGCTGCTCAACATTTTGGAAATAAAGGATTTACCTTGCAGCTAGACTGGGCTCCAGCCCACGGAGCTCATTCAACGACCGCTCTTTGTCAACAACTTTTACCTGGCTTTTGGGGTAAGGATGTTTGGCCATCGAACTCACCTGACCTTAACCCACTTGACTACTCAATTTGGTCAATTTTGGAGGATAAGATATCCCAAAAGAGTTATCATACGGTTGAAGCTTTGAAAGTTGCCTTACGTCGTGCATGGGACGAGATTACGGTGCCACAATGTAGGACCATAGTGAAGAACTTCCCCAAGAGATTGAGAAAGTGTATTGAAACCGATGGTGGCAATTTTGAACACTTGTTATGATTTTGTTATTATTTCGAGTGGTTAGTATTAAATAAAATCCTTTGTTATTAAATTTCTTACTGAAAATCAAAAGTTATTAACTTCGTAAAAAGTACGGGAACTTTTGGCGCACCCTGTACATTAGAATTCCTGATATTTCTAGTTTATCCCCTCAGTTGTTGGGTTTTGAAGGAAAGCGTGTAAAAAAAGATATTTTGACCTATATAAATAATGACCGTTTCACTTTTTATTAAAGACTTTTTTCTTATTCTTTGTTATCAAGTGCCAAACTTGTATCCAACATTAAGTTTATTCAATTTATGTTATTTTGAGCCGGTTTTCCAATGTAATTGACTATGACTATTTGCTCAGCCATTTTTTTGAAAATCTTGTGTTTTGCCAAGTTTCAGGACCACTTTTGAAGGAATTAACTATCGAAATTCAAAAAATTAAAAGGTCAAAGTTGTAGAGGACTATTTTAGTTGTAGTTGTAGTTGTCTGTGGTTTAGTTTGCAGTTATAGAGGACCAGAAACCGCTGTTGACTCAAAAATGCAGTCCGGACACTTTTTTATCGGTCCTCCTAGGCGCGCAGTTGCGAAAATGATCGCCAGAACGATCCCTAGTACTTGAGTATTCCGATAGTCTGTTAATGACCAGAAACTTGATAATATTTTTGATCAAATAATTGAGGCAACCCTTTGAATTGACTGTAGACTGTTCCATCATGTACTTTAAAATCAAAACTATTTCAAGAAAAACAACTTTATTTCCCATAAATAAACAAATGAAATCATTTCAACAAGTCATTGACCAAGCTTTGCACAGCTGGATGCTCATTTTCCCTGAGCTTCTTGAACAAAGGAATGTACTCTTCTTCTTCATTTCTATCGATCAATGAAAGCATTTGGGCAACCGTGCAGACAACTTCGATCTCTTTGTGTTCCAAGAAGGTTACGATCACTTCTTTTATGATTTCTTCTCTGTTTTTCTCTAAATCAAAGTAATTTCTATTTAGGAAATCCCTCAACGAATCGGCCAATTGATAGCTGAACCAAGGGGTGAGCTTTTCATAGAAAACCGGTAGTTTTCTAGCGATTCTATTCGCAAACTCAGCCAAATCTTTTGAGTTCACCCATTCATTGGCAAAATTCAGCAACAGATAACTTTTTGGGTCGTCGGAGAACGATAAAATCGAGGAAAATATCTCCAAAACATGACTGATAATCACCTTTCTATCGACTGTTTCCCATTTGTTGAAAACGATTCGTAAAATCAGCTCACGAGTGGCTGTTTTAACCAATAAACAATCATTTTTCACTTGTTCTTTGAAGATTTTCGTTAAAACGTTCAGCCTCTCCTCAAGTTTTTCGGTTTCCAAGTACTTGCTGACCAAAAACGATCTAGCTCCTTCAGCTCGATTGATGAAATTTGGTGACTCGTTGAACAGATACTTTTTCAAAAGTGTTTCCATAAAATCTTCTGGCAAAAAGTTGGCTGAATCAATGTTGATCAGCAGAGAATAACCATAGAGATTTCTCTCCTTTTTCTCGGGGATTAAGGCTTCGAATTTTTCAACGAGTTGCACTAAAATCTTCATAAACTCAACGACATATTCATCCGGAATTAGATCCACTTTAAACGGCCATGGATCAAGCATTGGTTCATCTTTTTCTTTCATTGATTCAATCATCTCTTTCGTTAATCCCCAAGTTTTTTCGTTGGGGAATTTGGCGAACAAATTCTGAGTCTCAGCCAGTACAATTGATCGAATCGAGTAGTGATCTTGTTGAAGCCAAGTGTTTTTGAAAAAATTAAAGATTTCCTCAAAGTTGCCTAACTTTGACATGAGTCTAACTCCGTGTTTTCCCACGGAGACTCTCTGTTTTGAAAGATTTATCGAGAAATCCAAAGCTGTTGGCAACTTTGTTCGTTTGCAAGAGTTCTCCAAAGTTGACAAAGCTGTTGACAAGTAGTCGCCCTGACAAAGTCTTTCGATGAGTTGGAGTTGAACTGGTGGATTGACCAGCTTCATCCCAGTCACGATGTTTCTGATCAATGAAAACTGTTCCCCAGCTTCTGGATCAACGACATCGATGTCTTTTGTTGGGAGGAATGGCTCAGCGAGTTTCGAGTAAGAATCACCGTCAATCAACAATGAGATTAAGATGAAAGAGTCTCCTTTTTGACGGGTTTCTTCATCTTTTACATTAGCCAAGCACTTTTCCAAGAATTTCTTTGGCAAATCGTTGCACCAAGCAAGTTTTCTGATGAATCGGTGAACGAGTTTTGTGTGTGACCATTTCAGGCACTCGTCGAAGTACTTTTCCCATTGGCTGGTTATAGCTTTTGGATCCCTTTTCAATCTATTCAAGGTTTGAACATCAATTTCAATCAAATCTTTCTCCGAGGGCCATAATTTTTCGTAAAGTTCCTTGTTGTACTTCTTCAGAACAGTCTTCAACGATGAGTACTGGACGTTATCTTCCTTTAAGATCCTGAAGAGCTCATCGAAATGCCAACTCAACCCATCAGTTGGTAGGATTTCTGATAAGGCATTTCTCTGTAAACATCGCTGATTGTACTCGTAGCTCTGTTCGATGAGAGCCGTGACCGTTCTCTCTTTCACCTCATCCCATCCATTGCCACCTTTTCTCCCGACTTGTTCGGCAATTCTCCAGAAGTTCTCCAAAGAAACCCTCTGTATTTTAGGCTCATCACTGACTGCCCATTGATGCCAATAATCATGGGAAATCACATAGAATAACCACTCAAAGATCAACCCTGTTGACTGATCATTGTCCAATTTGAACTTGAGCCCGGCCTCCAAGAGATCCCTAGGCAAAGATCTGAAATCAGATTGGTCAATCTTGATCCACAATCGCTGAATTATCTCAAAAATGACATCCCAATGTTCTTTTGTCAGAACTTTGTGCAAATTTTGGAGCTTTCTGAGGAATGCCTGATGGAAGTAAGGCGTTTCATTTCGATGTCGGTCTCTGATCAGCTTGAGAACATCCATCAACTCTTCCAGGTCATTGTTTACTTCACAGCAGAGTAGAATTTCCTCAATCAGGGAAATCCTTTTGTTGACATCCGAAGCTTTTTTGAGTTCTGATCTCAAATTTGGAACAATTTCTTCAACTGAGAGATAGCATTTCCAATTCGTTTCCCAGCGAGAGATCTTCCCGGCTGCTTGCTTTTCAGCCTTGATTTTGGCCAACTTTAAACGATCTTCTGTTCTCAAAAATTTCATCAGTGTTTCAGTCACAGCTTTTTCATTGTCCAATAGATTTCTCCCATAAGCCTTCTCATAAGAGTCCAGGAATAGTTGTGCTGTTTTTTGTTTTGGATAATACTCAAGATTGCCCAACATTGAATCAACATCAAAATTCTCCAGCTTTGGGAACATTTTCGGGAACATTTCTTCCAAATCTTGCTCCGAAATCTTTTTCATATCTAAAAACTTGAAAAACAATTTGGGTTTTGAGAGGTATTCTTCTCGGGCATTTCGTTGAAAACGTCTCGTTTGTTTCTTCGAGAGTTTCAAATAATAGAAATCTTCACCCTGTAGCTCAACAATTGCCAGAAATTCTTTTAAATGTCTTTTGATCAGTTTCGGAAGAAAACTCGAATATTTTCCAATGTCAATTTTATGCTTGAATCGGTTTTTGGTGTCCTTCTTTGGATCTGACAGTTTCAAATACCAAAAGATAAGATCCGAATCTTTTTGGAAAAGCTTCAAAACACAGTGTGGCGACAGAACGATCCTATACTTGGTGATCGATTCTCTCAAAAAATCACTCGAACAAGCGACCAGCAATGTTTCCGCTTCTTTTAGACCATAGATTTTTAGAATCTTTTCAAAAAGTTCTTCGGCTGGTTGAGAGGGCAATGATTTGGACAACCTTTTGATGATTTTCAAACGAGTCGAATAGGTGACAAATGGGAAGAGATTTTCGGTGAAATATCCAGAGTTTAAGGCCTCGTTTGAGCCGTCGAAGTACTCATTCAAGCCAAGAGCTCTCGTCACGAATTCACTGTTTTCTGACAACAAACCATTCTTGATTTGTTCAAAGTTTTTCGGATCTTTGTTTCCCAGTCGAATCGACATCTTGGCTGCTTCGATTTTGATCAACGGATGTAGATCTTTTGGGAGTCTTTCATTGACTACAAGGTTTTCCAAATCAATGTTATCGTCGATTTTCTTCTTGATCTCTTCGACCAGCCATTTCTGCTTTTCGTGAGCTGTTTCTCCGGGGATTTCTTGAAGAGCTGAGAGAATTTTTGTAGGGATTTCGAAGCTTTCGAAGGCTTGCTCCATTTTTGAGTTGGTGATTGATAGAAATGATGGGATTTTTGGAATCAAGTTCAGTGATCGGTCGAAATCAAGTCGTTCGAATCGTCGAAATGCAAGATCAACTCAAAATCGTTCAGTGAAGCTTTTCTTCAAAAGAGCTGTCGAAGAGACTCTGAAAAGCTTCAAATTATTGAATCTAATTATTGTCGAAAGCAGTCACCTGTTCCAATCAGGTTCTCTTCGTTGTCCCAGGCAACTAGGTAATCAGCCAAAATGAAAATTGTTCTAATTCAATTTCGAGACTCCAGTCGATCCGTGTAGAAATTGTTCAGATAAAGATTTTAGAGTTAGATTTGAAAAATCCAAATTGGACTCTTCAAAAGAATGAATAGAATCACTTTCTCAAATAAAAATTGGTCAGGATTTCGAAAATCTGACCGATTCAAGTCGAATCTGATGAACAAAAAGTCGAATCTCTTCTTGTCGTCTCGTTCGTCGTCGAATCACAATTCAATCAATCAGTTTGAAGTGAATTTTCGACAATCCTAACAGATCTTTTCAAAATGAATGAGTCAAAAAGCTTTCGTCAAGTCGAAATTTCAAAAATCAATCTCAAAGATGAGTCAGAAGCAGTCAAAAACACCTCAAAAAAGCAATGGTTTGGGTTTGACTGAATGATTTTCAGTCGCTATGGGGCTGTATTTATTCGTCCCACTTTGTACGTTTTTAGGGGCGTTTTCCAGCACTTTCTCTCTCCATTTCAGCTCTTTTTTTCTTGTTTTCTATTGATCGTTCACTCTTTTTAGCTCTTTTCATCTCTATGTCCCTGCATTTCGCGCATTTCTTTGTTTCTTTGTATCTCTCCGTGTTGTCAACTCTCTTTTCCGGCCAATGTTGTGCAATTTTTTGGAAAAAGAAACTGCAAACTTCAACAACCATTGAGAAATTGGCTGTGTTAACTGTTTTGCTTTAACCAAAGTTATTCAGCTGCACTTTTGCTAACTCCATCAAAGTTTACGCAAAAAAAATCCGGACTTTGACATTAAGCTTTGAAAAAAATTGTGAAATGGATCAAAAAATGGTAAAATGTATTGCAAAACAATGTTTTACGTTTGAATACGTTTACTATATACAATATACAATTTTATTGAGTGACAGAGTTTGATTCGATCTCTAATAATAAACCCAACTCCAATCATCCTTTGTCCTCCCCATAAACCACTGATTCTCGTCCTCACAATAGCCTTATTTCCAAGCAGAATGGCCACATGGCTAAAAGGAGAACTTGATGCTGAATTGATCAATTCATTGATGAAGATAACGTTTGTTATAGTCAATTTTAACGCCACAAACCCCTCGACACTGATGATTGTTGACGGATAGGGGCGCCATAAAGGGCAACACTGTCCCGTGCACCACACCGCACCAGCCATCCGTTTTGCAATCAAAGTCCACAGCTAGACAACGTTGTAAGCAAAACAAAAAAAGCAGCGAAAAGAATTTTGAATTGGAAAACTATCCCTACTAAACCACAAGTAGCCATACACAGTCGAATCTCTCTATAACGGAATGGAAGGGACCAAAAATGTTTCCGTTATATATAGCTTAGCGTCGGCCGGGACCAAAATTCCATTCCGTTACTTAGAGTTTTCCGTTATATAGAGTTCCGCTATAGAGAATGGGATTAGAGTTCAAGAATTTCAGCTAGACCTTTCAGTCCTCGGTTTCCAAAAAAACTTCTCAAACCACATGACACTTCATTTGCTATTTAGTAGTAAAACGATTAAAACTAGCACTGTCAATCGATTTCCCAACCCCCAAAAACCCCGGGTACAATTTTTCTGTTCAAAAATTTGAAGTTTTTGAACTCTAAAATGCAAAAAAGAAGATCGCTCTGTGTTCCCTGTGCGCGGGTACAATCACGCTCGATCTGGCATACCACGTTTGCGGATATCGTCCCTTGTCACTTCTCGAGTCGGAAGCGTCCATTTTGGGTCATCCGGTAACCAATCCGTTGTCTGCCCCAGGTGGTCACCGCCTCCCAAAACTAACCCCGGCTGTAGAATTGGTGAACCCAGCTCCGGCTCATGTTGACCAGAGTGGCGGGTTCTCCGTCGGTCGAAATGGGATCCCAAGTGCCCGTAAAAGGGTGTGCAAGGGAGCCGCTGTGAATTTTTGGATTCATCCCAAGGACTCCGGTCCGTAAGGGCAGCAACAACTCATGAAATAAAACGAGCAAATGGGCTCAAGTTTTAAAAAATGAAGGCTAGTTCATAGGCGCCAACCCAAAACTATATCCATTTTGTGATACCATCAAATTTCCAAACAACCTCGGCTTTGTACGAGTTATTTTTGTACATCAGCGAAGTCGAGATCTTCTTGCCGCTGAGAATGGACCAAAATAAATAGAGCATCGTGTTCCCCTCGATAGGCATTTGCATCTTCGCGGCGAAATCGTTCGTTCAGTTCGGATCATTCCCATGTGAGGGCTTGAGTGCTAGGGGTTGTGCTTGTGTACGGTTTGTCCCACATTATTCGTGTGAATCAATGTATTCATTTTTCTATTGCAAACCTATGAAAAGTTTGCTTGTTACTGCATAAACAGCAATCAATCAAGCTGTTTTCACACTCTGAGAAAGGTTTTTTCTCTAACACTTCTCTAGCATAAACAATTCAATTTTTAACTTTTCTTCTTGTTAATTTACGTACACGGTAATTGGTAGCTTTAGGAAAAGGGTTTAAGTGAAATTGTCTCAAAAGCTGTTTACATTTAGGCCTGCAGTTAAAAGAAAAAACTTTATTTCCAAAAAATTGTTTAGAATTTAGCCGGCTGTTGACAAAGCGCTGCTCGATAGGCCATATCACAGGGCCAATCGTCCCATTTGGCCGTCATAGCTGGATTGGTTACATCGGCGTAAAACTGAAAATCGATGAGTTTAATTGTTACAGGAATTGAAATCAAAGATTACTTTTAAGAAAAACATACACGAACACAGTAACTGTTCCCGGAGTAGTTGTTCGGTTCCCCGGGAGCCCAATTCGTGTAATTCCACGGTGATCCATCCGACCATTTCCAATCATCGACACCAAGTCCAGTCTGTATATTTTGAATCTTTATATTTTTAGGCTTTTATTTTAAACATGTTCATTCTTTTGTTGTTTAGAACTAAGTGCATGAAAGCAAGACAGACAAATCTAAAATCCTAGTCTAACAAGTTTCATTTTCTAAGTTTCAGTCCAGTTTCAGTTCTACTTGTTTTGACTTTTTAGCTACAATTTGCAATAGCAAGAGTGTATATAACAAATCAGTGAACTAAAATGAAAAGTGTAGCAATTTCTGGTGATCTGGTCAACCATTTGCCATGACATTTGCCCTACCCGTTGTCCACCGAACAAAATCCACGCTTGCAGGTCGTTCACTCCGGTTTTTGTCAATTCTGAAAAGATAAAGATGAATAAAACACAAAGTTTTAAAAAAAAACATAAAGTAAAATACATGATACCATAGACAATCTTATTTTCCTCGGGAGAATGAATCGAAGCTAAATTAGCGTTCGCCACTCGACAGTTCTCATCCCCGGAAGCCCCATTCACAGTGTAGATAAGCTGTATTTGATTAGCAAAATTTAATGGCAAGTTTATAAACCAAATCTTTTTTTAAAAAGAATCTTTGTACCTTATAACAACTTTTGAAAGTCTCAATATAGGTCCATCCCGAGGGACAGGGGGAGCTGTTCGGACAAGTGTTGGGCGAAGGGACAGTCGGTGATGGAGATGGGGTTGAGATCTTAATTTTGGAACTTTGTCATCGTTGAAACAAGATTGTATTGAACTTAACTTGAATCTGATTTGATTTGTAAAAATGATAAACAAAAAACAACAAACAAACAAAGTTTCTTGTGAAACGTAGATAGAATAAAGCTAATTTTGAAACGGCGAACAGTCAAAGGAAAAAAAGCCAAAAAGAAATGATGAAGGGGGAGTGAAACAAGAGAATGTTCGCTTCCCACGCTAGCCCACTACCACTCGGCTACCTGCACTTTTTGGAAACGCCTTTGGGAAATTAGCTTATCATAATTCGACCCTGAGTCCGAAAATTCCTTGTGAAATTTTAAACTTGTATAACTTTTGATAGGGTAGTGTCTAGCAAAAAAAACTGAAACTATATTCAGAATCATCGAGAAATTCTGGTATATAGCACTGCCATTTTGTTTTGCCATTTGGCCACCTTGCCCACTTGATTTTTCGTTGTAAGTACAATACTAACATCGTTGTCTTTCACCAGACAGATGAACGGAATCATCGAATTCCATGTGGGTGTCGACCACTGACCGCCTTTCAAATTCAACACAACTTTCCCGGGTGCTGTCTCTAAATCCAAACTTTGATCAGTAAAATGGTAAATGTTAAGGAATATATCGTTTTAACAAACCTGAAACAAAGTTTTGATAGACATCTGGCGATCCATCGAGCCATTCAATTTTCGAGCCATCATATGTGCCTCCAAGCCATACATTCTCGGCGCTCTAAATGGTATGATACATCATCATCATGATGTGCTGAATCTGAGTTTTTTTAAAACATTGTAGACATTTCAAGAGTTTTTATTGATAAAAATTTGAACTTTTGAGGCCAAACCTTGAAGAAACTTCTTGCCAATTCGAGCACTTTTGAATCATCGAGAGGAGTCGTAATTGAGGCAAGCTTTCCATTAAAACTATAAAGATGAACGATTTTCAAATCCTAAATCCCAGTTTTACTATGTTGCGCAAAAATTGTTAGCATCATCAAATGTTTTATTGAGTTCGAGTCCGAAAAAGCAGCTCCCAGCCGTTGATCCACTTATTCCATTCTTTGGACAGAAAGCAGAACAAAACTCTAGAATACTTGAAAAGATTCACATTTATATCTTTCAAACCTGTATGAATTAATAAAGAAAATCCAATAGAAACCCAAAAGCGTAACATTTTCTGTTGACAAAATATTGTTTTGACCGTTTTTATCAGTTTCTTCAATTTTCCAATTCTTTTAGCACCTAGGTCAAAAGTTTTGATAAATTTTATTGGCGACACTCGTCATTCTTTCCACCAAAGACTTTGCTTTAGCTAAGGAAAATAAATCTATAGTTTGTTGTATAATTTTACAATAGAATTTATGGATAGATGCATGAAATTAACACTTTTCTCAGCCCTATGCCAAACTGCTCTAAATTTGGTCGGCTGTTTGATTTTCATAAGAAAATTCCTTTACTTTGAATAAAAATGGTCGGCCTGACTGTAAGTGGCGTTAAATGGAATGGCGAAATCACAGTTCCCAATCTCCGTGGCAACATCTTCTGGACAAGTTGCTGAAGGGATTCAACAGTAGATGTATACAAAAGAAACTTTAACTGTACTCAGAGCAAAAGAGTAATAAAATAAAACAATATCGCGTTTAAATTCATTTTTGAAAGAAGAGAATTATGCTAAAGCTAAAGCCCGTAGAGCCATTATTTGCGAGTCGATCAATCTTCCGATTTCGAGGTTTTTCGAGACGCTATCACTAATAACCTTAAGTTCTATATTCGTTTTTTATTGTAAGTTTTTGTTTTGATCTGTCTAATGTCTAAGTCCATCTGAAGACTTTCACAAATTATCGAACAAATCCATCAGTGTGCTCACAAAAAATCATGAACCAAGCCTAGAGGACTTTCAAAACAAACAAAGCATCCCATAGGTAATTCACAATCCATAAAGAATCATTTGTAAACTTTGAAAAAAATCAGAAGCATTTGAACTCTGAAAAGCATCAAATTACAATGACTTTTCGCTCTTTCACATAATTTTGCAGTCTAAAGCCGATTTGAAAGAAAAGGCGTCCGATAAGCACCAACTTTCGCATTTTTATTCTCAACTTTACCTTAAAATGCTCTCCATTTTCCATCTCCATCTCCATTCTCTCCATTTTCTCCATTTTCTTGAGTATTCTCTTAGTTTCCAATGATTTATCATTTTGTTTAAACGGAAGCTATTAGCTAAAGAGGAATTTGACGTTTGTCTCTTTGTCTACGATAAGGGTCAGAGGTTTTTCAGAAGTCACTGATTTTGAACAGTAGACAATAGGTGAATTTGAAATTTTTCTCTTCGAACACAGCTCTATATTCCCTCACCCTTCAATGAATCAGCAAAATTTTGTGACAATTTGTTTCAAGGATATCCTCCTCAATTCATAACGCTTTTCAAAACGTTGTATTGGCCGATCTCGCCTCAAAAGGTGAGTATTCTCAACAAATCAGTTCCCTTTTTAATTTATCATTACAATCTTCAACTCTTATTTAGTCTGTCCGTTTTTGGCGTGATCACTTTACGAGAATTTAGCATGAAGTTTTTATCCAATAAACCCATCAACTCTCCAGCTTGAACCCACCAGAACGAGTGTCGTTTCCATTATCACAAATGCTTGACGAAGAAATCGCAAAACAAGAAGCTCTACATACAGCATATAAGCATACAAATAAGCAACAATTGAAAGCACCCGGGAAATAGCACAATGTGGCAAGGCGAACATATACATGTCGCTTGTATAGTAAGCCATCGAAGAAGACGGCAAAGATTCTAAACTTGGATGAAATGGGAGTGGAGAGACCGATTCAGGCAAAGGTTGTTTCGTAAAAATTGCCGGAGTTTTTTGGTTTTTTGTTTATCGAGTTATTTGCAATCTTTCTGTTCAAAAATTTGAAGTTTTTGAACTTTAAAATGCAAAAAAGAAGATTGCTCTGTGTTCCCTGTGCGCGAGCACAATCGCGCTCGATCTGGCATATCACGTTTGCTCATATAGTTTCTTTTCACCCGCGAATCGGAAGCGTCCATTTTGGGTCATCCGGTAACCAATCCGTTGTCTGCCCCATGTGGTCACCGCTTCCCAAAACTAACCCCGGCTGTAGAATTGGTGAACCCAATTCCGGCTCATTTTGACCACATTGGCGGGTTCTCCGTCGGTCGAAATGGGATCCCAAGTGCCCCTAAAAGGGTGCTGAAGGGAGCCGCTGTGAATTTTTAGATTCATCCCAAGGATTTCGGTCCGCAGGGGCAGCAAGAACTCATGAAATAAAACGAGCAAATGGGCTCAAGTTTTGAAATATTATTGGTCGTATTTGAGAGTTTTGATCAAAATCTGATGAAAATCTCAAATATTTCATGGGTGTCACAAAAATCGATCTTTTTGTAATGGTGAATGAAAGAGTCAAGTTATATCAAGCAAAAAAAACTCAGAAACATGTTATCAAAACGTTTACACAACTTCTATTCTAATCTCTTCAGGAATCAATCTTTTTTCCAGGGGAAACCATTTAGCATTTCTCTTTTCAGGTCACCAAACTCTTCCATCGACTCCACAAATCAGTGCTTATGTTGTTTTCCTCAACTTCAATTGGATTTGATCAGAAATATTAAACAGTTTCAAACGATTCCTTGAACTAAAGTTAGAACAAAATTAGAACTTTAGAGGACTCTTGATCAGATCACCAAAATCGAAGGACAAAAAAGAAGATTCGAAGAACAACGAAGAAACTAGCTATATAAGAAAAAGAAAATTGCATGTAAGTTTAGAAATTTAAGTTTTTCACTCAAACATTCGTTTGCTTTAGAGCTATTAGTGATTCGAATCAACTTGTGTGAAGTATTTGAGTGATTTGAGGAAATGTAACACGGAAATCGAGGCTTGCCTCTTGCGAATTGGCTAAATTCCTATTCATAAGCGTTCAGAAGCTTATCGATAGATTAAAGAAATCGAATGAAATGTCAAATCGTTGAGTTTTTTTGTGGATATCAATACCAAATGAACCGAATAGTCAAATAGAGTTTCTCCATTTCGAGTTTGGAGTTGAGATTGACTCCAATTTTGTTGTATCGTTACAATTTTATAGGTGGAAAGAGAAAGCAATAGATATAATTGCTCCTCACATCAAATTTATCCCATTTTTTGGCTAGAAATTTGGTGTTTGAGCGGAACACCATTTTTGTGGGCTTGTTTCTGTTAAGAGTTTGCTTTTGAAGCTCTTTATTCAGTTTGAAGATATTCAATTCAATTAGAATGAGTGGTCACTTGCGATCATAGCTAAAAATGCAATTTGTCTTTTCACTTTTAGCTATAGATTCTCAACATTGCAACGAGTGTAGCTTGTGGATCAAATTGAGGGTTCATTTGGCGTCGGACTCGTTTTTCTGTTTCATCGAATTAGTTTGTGTTTACGTGAAGAAAAACAACAGAATGCTTTTCATTGTCTGTCTACCGATCTGGACGTCTGGATCGGATTCAGATGTTCGTTTAGGAATTAAAATTAAAGGTTAATGGAACTGTTACGTCCGAATCTGAACAGTCGTCATGTTCCGAACATGATCTCCATTATATTAGGCACCTATATTTTCCTAGGCTATGGCTTCGCACCTTAGAGACCTGATTATAGGCTATCACTTGATTCTCCCAACTCCGATCTTCGATTCTCTTGGGGATCCGATTCTTTCAGGTTGTGTTCGGCTTCGGACGTGATGTTCGGAACATGACGACTGTTCGGATTCGGACGTAACAGTTCATTAACATCAAATTAGCATTTACGAACTTAAGAGTTTGGTTTGTAAACGGACGTCCGGATCCGATCTGAACGTTAGTTCGTAAACGGACGCGACATATAAGCAAACTGTGGAATTCTCAAATGATACTGAAACTATTCAATGAGGTAATTCTATGTCATTCAATTTTATCTGTCTGGGAGTTTAAGACTGAGTGAGAGTTTTTTTTAAATTTTCCAACTTAAAATCACATCTGGCAAATTTTTTTTGTAATCGGAGAGCTTCAATTGATCTCCGAAGAAGACCGATGACTTGATTCGTTTTTCCCCTTCGCTGTCGACTCGACAAAAGATCGATCACCTTGACTCGTTTGAGAAGCGACTCTTCGTCCACTAGATCAAGGGTTAGTCAAATAACATTGAGTACACTTACAAAAGTGTTCGCATAATCGCATTTCGATAATCCTTGATGAAATAGATCATTGAAAGAGCGTCCAACAAAGGATAGGCCGAGATTGGAATGAATAGGTAGCTGCTGAAGATTCTACCACAAATTGTACAAAAGAGTTTTGAATCTTTCGATGATAGAGCATCTTTTTCAAGGTTTTAGTTTCTGTGGACCGAAGCCAGTTCCAGAGCCAGCATCTCATAAAACTACCGGAATATTCAAGCGATTTTTTGAGATCTGATAGCATCTTGGTTACTGATTAGGCTAGATGGTTGTTTTAAAATCTCAAACTGACCACGATCCGAGATAGATTCCGTTGAAAGAGCAAGTGAACGAGGTCATACAAGGAATACCCTCGAGCACGAATGGGAAGGCTGTCTGGAAGGGATAGTTCAGTGATAGTCGCTTTTAACATTTACAAATTGTAAAACAGTTTCTTACGGTGATATGACGGCAATCAAGTAGCTTCAATTAGTTAGATTAGTTTTCAATCATAAATACAATTTCTCTGTGCCTACTTGAGCGATGAGAGCATGCAAGAAATTCCTCTGCAATCTCCTCGTTCGCTCACTCATTTGGACGGTTTCGATGGCACGGTAGATTTGAGAGGTAAACCAAATCTGAGAACGTTTACTACTTGATTTTAGAATTAAAGACACTCCTGCTTTTAGAATTAAAGACACCGGATATTCATTCTAAAAAACCTATTCACTTTCACTAACCATAGCAAAAAACTTCCACAACAACTGACTAAGGACGGTGATGGTTGAGAGAGCATTGTGGATTCGATATCGCTCAACGTTGCTCGTGTCGTTGTACTAAAAGGAGAAAGTTATTTCCAACTCTTGGTTACTGATTTTTTTTCTATCATTTTAGGCTTTCTTGATTACTGGTTTTATTCTACCTTCAATGACTACAGGGTGCGTGAAAAGTTCTGTCCTCCTAAGAGACCACTTTTACGACTTTTTATGAAG